TTAAAAAAAAAAGAAAAGAAAATCAGTATCCTGTTCGAGTGTAACAACTCAGCAGATTCTCAACTATGAATATTTTACATCACTATCTGACGTGACTTAACATCAAACGTTTCTATAATTGCTGACTAATCATCATCCATTTTATCACACCTGTACAAGGTACACAAGATTTTGGCACGTGGTTTTTACATAATATTTTTTTTTTTCTCTTTAGAAATTTTGATGGGAAAGACTTGACGATTATCGATAACCGTATTAAAATTTGTAGGGTATCTCGGCGACACGATGACGCAAAGATGAATTCTTTCAAGTTTGTTTTTATCAGGTTATCTAATAGTGATATGATTTTGGATATCATTTCAAAGCTATTATTGATATTTGTATAACTTGTTTTTAATTTCACTTGTCATTAACGAATGATAAAAAACGCTAATGAAAGTGAAGATAACAGTGAAATAATAAATAAAATTTTAAAAGTTTCAAATGAGTTATATACTTGGTAATGATGTTTAAAATAAAGCTCTAGAAGTAAAATATATAATTAAAAAGATTTTATAAGTATATTGATGTAATTATGCAAGTAAGAAAACTGCTGTATCATTAAAAGTATTGCTGCAAAATGTATATAATAAATTGCTCAGGAAATGTCTGAAAACGTACAAAAATTAAGCCTTTAATTACGTCGAAATTTTAATATATGTAGTCAAACTTCTGAACAAGGTACATAAAAACAAATCGTTATTTTGTATGCATTTTTGTTCAGAGAAAAAAAAAATGGTCGCTGTTTAGAGGTAGCCGTTATTAGCGGTTGGATTATGTATATACCGGAATTTTTTACAATGAAGAAATCAATTGAAATTAACGGCATCGTTCGACATTTTAATGAGAAATCAATTCATTGAAGTAGTTGTATCGACATATAATTAGTATAAATTTTTCTTTAATTTAAAATCGTTTTAAGTTTTATCGTATATTTAATAATAATTTAAAAAGTAAGTGGTTACGGAATACTAAAAATTCCGACTTATTTTGATGACTCATTATCGACTGTGTACAGCCTATCGCTGGATGAATAACCAATATTTCACAATAGAAAAACACATTAAAGTTGTAAGGATTGTGTTAACTTTCTTTAAATAATCGTTAAGTTATATCGAAAATATTTATTGATATACCAATACATGAAGACATACTCCATAAAAAATGCCTAAAAAGCTTCAATGATAACCTAAAATATATATTCCAAATTAAGTACTTTCTCATCGATTATTTATTGTAGTTGTATTCTAGATTATCAGTAAACATTTATTTATAATTCTATCGGGGAAATTGAAATGCACATATTAATTTAACTCAGAAAAAGCTTCATTTAATATATGCATTCGTATAGAGAATATTCGAAGAGAAACTTTGAAGTTTGTTAATACAATGAACAACGGCCATTGATAGGAATATAGGAAAAAAATGGACGTGGCAATGCATTAATGGAAAACATTTCAAGATATTTATTGAAAATCGTAGTAATAGTTAAATACGAGAAACTTAAACAAATACAGGATTATTTAATTGCAAAATATGTTCTTTTACTTAATTTAATATGAAGTAATTTTATTGAAGAAGAGTTTTTAGTTAGATTTGTTGTTGATGATGATTTGTATCTAAGTATAAACCGAAAACAACTTGACCTTATTTAAATTTGTAAAAATATACCAATTACTGTTATAAAAAATAGTTTATTTTCGCAGAAATTTATAAATAAGAATTTATCTATCGAGAGATAAGTCTCGTGTGATTGTTAAAAGATCATCGCCTGATCTGTGACATCACATATCATTGATGAACGATCCCATCCGTATACTCGTTCTAATTGGTGTAAATAAATAAGACCATTATAGCGTCATAGAATAATACTTGAACTTAGAGGACGAATCGAGAGAAAACGACCAATGAGAAGCCGATGTATATGATTGATTCTGGATCATAAATAGGTGTGCGCGTGTATCGATTTCAGTATTTTTGTAAAGATGTCGGAAGAAATACTTGTTACCACCTCCGATAGCGATAGGGAAAATATCAACGAATTTATCGTCCCGGACGGCGATTTAACGAAAAAAATAGTCGATTTAATCGAGTTCTATTTTTCGAACGAAAACGTTCTAAAAGATAAATTTCTTCTTAAACATCTTAAAAGGAACAAGGAAGGATACGTGAGCATAAAGCTGATGACTTCTTACAGAAAAGTCAAGACTTTAACAAGAAACTGGCAAGTGGTGGCTTACAGTTTGAATACTTCGGAAATGTTGGAAGTGAACGCAGAAGGCACTCGAGTTCGTAGAAAGGAGCCACTTCCCGAATTGGAACAACCGGTTTGTTCGAAAAGTGTTCTGGCATGCGATCTGCCTTTCCACAAAGCTACAGTAGAAAAGGTTGGTGGTCTTTTTTCGTCTTGCGGCGAAATTGCACTATTACAGATATTGAGACCGGGTGGTAACGTCCCAGAAAATGTCAGGAAATTGAGCTGCAAACATCCGAATTTATTAAAAAACGTTTGCGCATTAATCGAATTCGAAAATGAACTTTCCGCGCAGAAATCTTTGCAAGTTAAGGATGTTCGAGTGTTACCTTTGCCAGAATCTGAAACGTGCAAAAACAAGAGGAAGAAGCCAAAATCGAAACCCAAAGACATTATAATTAGCCGGAACGAAATTCATTCCGGATATCGCTCTTCTAGTGTTTCTTCCGGTTATCTATCTTCCTCTCCTAGGAGAGGTTCTGACTGTGATAGCAGATGTAACTCACCCGTATTAATCACCAACTTTAGTCGAAGATACACTCTTCCAACTGTAGTCAATCAGAACAGAAGGGAGAACAGGTTGGAACTGATTTCTGAACATAAAATTTCAAATTACATATTGAGATTACCGAAAGGACCAGATGACACTAAAGGTTTTAGAAGCAGGAAGGTTGTGGTGAGGGGGAGTTTTTAATTCTCCTCTTGTATATAGGTTCAATCTGAATGATAAATCAAAATTTTTCAACGTAGTATAATCGGGCAAAGAACTTAGAATGGAAAATAGCACGAAATAGCTTTTATTTAATATATTTTTTTTTACAGATATTCCTAAAGTTTTTTTTTCTATTTTCATCAGAAATTTTTATCTTTAGTAAACATTTACTCTTATAAGTAACATTGATTTCAAAGGAATAAGCAAATTTTAAGAAAACATAAAAATAAGTTGTGTTTAGTAATTAAAAAAAAAAAGAAAAGAAAATCAGTATCCTGTTCGAGTGTAACAACTCAGCAGATTCTCAACTATGAATATTTTACATCACTATCTGACGTGACTTAACATCAAACGTTTCTATAATTGCTGACTAATCATCATCCATTTTATCACACCTGTACAAGGTACACAAGATTTTGGCACGTGGTTTTTACATAATATTTTTTTTTTTCTCTTTAGAAATTTTGATGGGAAAAACTTGACGATTATCGATAACCGTATTAAAATTTGTAGGGTATCTCGGCGACACGATGACGCAAAGATGAATTCTTTCAAGTTTGTTTTTATCAGGTTATCTAATAGTGATATGATTTTGGATATCATTTCAAAGCTATTATTGATATTTGTATAACTTGTTTTTAATTTCACGTGTCATTAACGAATGATAAAAAACGCTAATGAAAGTGAAGATAACAGTGAAATAATAAATAAAATTTTAAAAGTTTCAAATGAGTTATATACTTGGTAATGATGTTTAAAATAAAGCTCTAGAAGTAAAATATATAATTAAAAAGATTTTATAAGTATATTGATGTAATTATGCAAGTAAGAAAACTGCTGTATCATTAAATGTATTGCTGCAAAATGTATATAATAAATTGCTCAGGAAATGTCTGAAAACGTACAAAAATTAAGCCTTTAATTACGTCGAAATTTTAATATATGTAGTCAAACTTCTGAACAAGGTACATAAAAACAAATCGTTATTTTGTATGCATTTTTGTTCAGAGAAAAAAAAAATGGTCGCTGTTTAGAGGTAGCCGTTATTAGCGGTTGGATTATGTATATACCGGAATTTTTTACAATGAAGAAATCAATTGAAATTAACGGCATCGTTCGACATTTTAATGAGAAATCAATTCATTGAAGTAGTTGTATCGACATATAATTAGTATAAATTTTTCTTTAATTTAAAATCGTTTTAAGTTTTATCGTATATTTAATAATAATTTAAAAAGTAAGTGGTTACGGAATACTAAAAATTCCGACTTATTTTGATGACTCATTATCGACTGTGTACAGCCTATCGCTGGATGAATAACCAATATTTCACAATAGAAAAACACATTAAAGTTGTAAGGATTGTGTTAACTTTCTTTAAATAATCGTTAAGTTATATCGAAAATATTTATTGATATACCAATACATGAAGACATACTCCATAAAAAATGCCTAAAAAGCTTCAATGATAACCTAAAATATATATTCCAAATTAAGTACTTTCTCATCGATTATTTATTGTAGTTGTATTCTAGATTATCAGTAAACATTTATTTATAATTCTATCGGGGAAATTGAAATGCACATATTAATTTAACTCAGAAAAAGCTTCATTTAATATATGCATTCGTATAGAGAATATTCGAAGAGAAACTTTGAAGTTTGTTAATACAATGAACAACGGCCATTGATAGGAATATAGGAAAAAAATGGACGTGGCAATGCATTAATGGAAAACATTTCAAGATATTTATTGAAAATCGTAGTAATAGTTAAATACGAGAAACTTAAACAAATACAGGATTATTTAATTGCAAAATATGTTCTTTTACTTAATTTAATATGAAGTAATTTTATTGAAGAAGAGTTTTTAGTTAGATTTGTTGTTGATGATGATTTGTATCTAAGTATAAACCGAAAACAACTTGACCTTATTTAAATTTGTAAAAATATACCAATTACTGTTATAAAAAATAGTTTATTTTCGCAGAAATTTATAAATAAGAATTTATCTATCGAGAGATAAGTCTCGTGTGATTGTTAAAAGATCATCGCCTGATCTGTGACATCACATATCATTGATGAACGATCCCATCCGTATACTCGTTCTAATTGGTGTAAATAAATAAGACCATTATAGCGTCATAGAATAATACTTGAACTTAGAGGACGAATCGAGAGAAAACGACCAATGAGAAGCCGGTGTATATGATTGATTCTGGATCATAAATAGGTGTGCGCGTGTATCGATTTCAGTATTTTTGTAAAGATGTCGGAAGAAATACTTGTTACCACCTCCGATAGCGATAGGGAAAATATCAACGAATTTATCGTCCCGGACGGCGATTTAACGAAAAAAATAGTCGATTTAATCGAGTTCTATTTTTCGAACGAAAACGTTCTAAAAGATAAATTTCTTCTTAAACATCTTAAAAGGAACAAGGAAGGATACGTGAGCATAAAGCTGATGACTTCTTACAGAAAAGTCAAGACTTTAACAAGAAACTGGCAAGTGGTGGCTTACAGTTTGAATACTTCGGAAATGTTGGAAGTGAACGCAGAAGGCACTCGAGTTCGTAGAAAGGAGCCACTTCCCGAATTGGAACAACCGGTTTGTTCGAAAAGTGTTCTGGCATGCGATCTGCCTTTCCACAAAGCTACAGTAGAAAAGGTTGGTGGTCTTTTTTCGTCTTGCGGCGAAATTGCACTATTACAGATATTGAGACCGGGTGGTAACGTCCCAGAAAATGTCAGGAAATTGAGCTGCAAACATCCGAATTTATTAAAAAACGTTTGCGCATTAATCGAATTCGAAAATGAACTTTCCGCGCAGAAATCTTTGCAAGTTAAGGATGTTCGAGTGTTACCTTTGCCAGAATCTGAAACGTGCAAAAACAAGAGGAGGAAGCCAAAATCGAAACCCAAAGACATTATAATTAGCCGGAACGAAATTCATTCCGGATATCGCTCTTCTAGTGTTTCTTCCGGTTATCTATCTACCTCTCCTAGGAGAGGTTCTGACTGTGATAGCAGATGTAACTCACCCGTATTAACCACCAACTTTAGTCGAAGATACACTCTTCCAACTGTAGTCAATCAGAACAGAAGGGAGAACAGGTTGGAACTGATTTCTGAACATAAAATTTCAAATTACATATTGAGATTACCGAAAGGACCAGATGACACTAAAGGTTTTAGAAGCAGGAAGGTTGTGGTGAGGGGGAGTTTTTAATTCTCCTCTTGTATATAGGTTCAATCTGAATGATAAATCAAAATTTTTCAACGTAGTATAATCGGGCAAAGAACTTAGAATGGAAAATAGCACGAAATAGCATCTTATCCGATTGTATATATTTATAAAACTGTATACATCCAATATATTAATAATTAATAATATTTATTTGTATAACAAAATTAAATAGTCCAAAATATATTTATTTATTTCATAAAAAGAAATTCTATTTTCAAATTGTTTCAATATGATTGTGTTTTTATACACGTGTCTACCACAGTAAATTCGGAATCATTTAAAATAAAGATGAAAATGTCGATGATGCCGACGTTGATTCTGAATTTCATTTTTATTTTACCGTATATTTTATAAATAAATAAAATTATTTACAGATCGAAGTTCTACAATATTTTTTTAATTATCTGGACGGTCGAATGACTTACTGTAAAAGGTAGCACCTACCGCTCGGGTCGAAAAACTCCAGGAACTTTTCGGTCCCTGTCCTTTATCATTCGGCCGCCCCATTGTAGGTATTAATTAATAGATCTGGCTGAATTTACATTTAAAATAATGCGATTAATACTACAAGTAATTTTTTAACTATCCGTTCTATGGGCACTAAGGCAGCATTTTCTCATGCCCATTGTGGGTTCGGCCAAGCTGGGTGGTGAGAAGTGGGGCCCGGCATATCCGAGAAATATAGCCCATGAAAAAATTTCCGGGGTTCTCCGACAAGATTCGATCGTGGATCCTCCAGAGAGGCAGCTGACGCCTTAACTTCCTCGACCATCCGGCTGTAGCTATTATCCTATTAAAGATGTTTATTATTGTTGATTTGTTTTGCATTATTTTAAATTGTCTTACCACTGATTATTCCTTATTAACTTTATATATTATTTAGTTATTTAAAGAACTATTATACATGGTAAACACGCAAAACTCCGGGCGTCCGATGAAGACGGTCATGGGCGGATCCGCTAGTAAGTCTATTCTTATATTTTTAAATAAAATGTTTGTTTATATATATATTTTTAAATTATAATGATACCACCGATAGAAAAATATTAATAAATAAAATTTATTAATAATAATTTAAACCATTAATCACAAAATAAAGCTAACAACAATCTTTTATTATTTCTAGTATCATTTTTTCTTACAACAAACAATCAGAAAACTTAATTCTGAATCGTATTTATCGATCTTTTATTGTAATTTTCCAAAATTTTATTAAAATAAGATATAACCACGTGGTTGTTTACCCATCCCTCTCCCTACGTGGTTTTTTTCTCATTACCCCTCCCTCCCCTAAACCGAAACACGTGATTTATGGATGAAACCTATGTTGTTTAACGGATAATTGATTTCTAAATTAAAATGTCAAATTATATTGCTCGGTTTTCAAATTAACTTTGCAAATTTAATTTATACTAACTGATATATAAAGGGAGAATGGTTGTTTGTTTGCTGGAGGTAATCTCGGAAACTACCGAACCGATTTTTAAAATTCTTTCGCTATTGGAAAACTTATTCTTTTCAGATGAACACGGGCTATATACTATTTTCACATTAAAAAAGGAAGATGCACGAGAATGATGTTTTTACCGCGATGTATGTCGGGCGTCATTTGTCTGTTCCGTTCAAGGTCACCTGGTGGGCTTTTTAAAACTTATTACATACCGTACGTTTCTAAATTCAATACTTATATCACCAGTGAGCACAGATTACAGAGAGGCAGATGGTCAACTCACTATACTTTCTACGTCAGGGTGGCGAACCGATGGCACGCAAGGAGAAATCATCTGGCACGTAACGTGTCATACGATTTCGATTTGTCATCTGTCT